TTTTTATTTATTACATTTATTTATTGTGTGTGTGTGTGGCCAGCTCAGCCCACCAGGGGGCGGGGCTGGCTGGCATGTGGTGCTGGGGATCGAACCGTGGTCCCTGTGCTTCGCCAAGCTTGATTCAAGTAGGTGCTTTAGACCACTGAGCCATCTCTCCAGCCCTGCTTTTGTCTTTTGAGACAGGGTCCCACTAGGTAGTTCAGCCTGAACTCTGTGTAGCCAGGCTGGACTCAAACTGGGTGCTCCTGCCTCAGCCTTGCAAATGCCAGCCTGACAGGTGTGTCACTATGCCAGGCTACCAGTTGTTTTAAACACAAGGCGCAGAACACATCTGACTGTGGCTCCTGGGGAGGCCGAGGCAGGATTCTGAGTTTGATACACTTGACTTGATCTTCATCGATGGGGACAAGGTGATAGCAAAGGGCAAGTATCTCAAAGTGGCCCGCGGACCTGAGTGCCGGAGCAGTCATGGCAAGCCTGAAATCACGTCTCCACACCCCAGTGACGCCTGGTGCAGCACACATGTCATTCTAGCTCCCCGGGAGGCAGTTTGAGCCCCGTCAGAAGAAGCACCGAATTACAGACTCTTTCTTTTGCAAAATGACAGAAGCCTCCTCCCATCTTGGCTCTAAAATTACAGGTAGCTAATGAGTTAGCACTCGGATCGCTGCAAGCTCAAGGCTAGCCTGTACTACATAGCAAGACCCTGTCTCAAAAAAATAAAATGAGGGCCTGATAGCTCAGTAGAATAAGCACTTTCCTGGCAAGCGCAGGGTCCCGAGTTCAATCCCCGGTACTGCAAAAAAACAAAAAAAAGTTGACCATATTGTAATTACCACTGTGTGATTTCCTGAAAACTGGAGATCTAGCCAGTGTCACACAAGCTGTTCTGCACAAGTCATAGCGTATCTGAAAGTACGTACGCACACAGCCGTCTCATAGAACCCAACTGCTAAATACTGTACGTCAGTGTTCGAAGCCTCCAGCAACGCTGAGGCAATGTCTACAATCCCTGCAGCACTTATAAGTGCTCAGTATACCTGCGCTGAACTGGCACCAAGAGCCTCCACTGCCCCAGCGCCTGGGCGGGGGTCAGAGTGGGAGGCCAGCTCCGCAACCCAGATTCCGGCTCCGAGGGCCAGGGCGAGCTCTGACCTCTGGGAAGCCACCATTACTGGACAGAATAAATGAGTCTGCCAAGCACCAGGTTTTGGGTCAGGGAGATCGCTCAGTAGAATAAGCGCTTGCCTGGCAAGTGCAGCGTCCCTGGTTCAATCCCCAGTACTGCAAAAAAAGAAACAAAAACCACCAGGCTTTCAAGCATAGCATTCAACAAATAAAACCAACTGTGAAAGCTATTTCCAGGGGCCGGGGAGATGGCTCAGAGGAATAAGCACTTCTCTGGCAAGTGCAAGGGCCTGAGTTCAATCCGCGCTTCCGCAAAAAAAAAAAAAAAAGCTATTTCCAACAGCTTCAATCTGCCAAGGCCATAATAATAATTTCTGGTAAGACTTAAGACACAAATCAAGGATTATAAATCTATACTTTTATTACAACAAAAACTGACAGTGTAGTATGAAGTTTACATTTAAAGAAAAATTTCACAGAAATCTAACACATGCCTAAAAAGACTTTACAATGTAGCTCAAGACAGTGTCAAGAACTGCTGGATCTTATGACTGAAGGCAGAGCATTTTGGGCAGCAGTGTTAGCTCTTTTTCACAATTTGCTTTGTGTTTTAAAGTGAACCGCTGCCCCAGTGTGAACGTTCCATCTCCTGAGACCAGGGCTTCTGAAAGCGCTCAGCCCGACTGACTCAATGAAACTTGTGCTGTCAGTGACTGAACTCTGTCACTAAAGGTTTCAGATCCAAGCTCAAAACCCAAGGCCCCGATTTTCCACCCTAAGAGTCTGGACCACGCTGGTCCCAACTCTGCTGCCCTCCCTCAGTCCCCCAGCACTTCTGCCGCGGTGTGGACGGCCAAGCAGGTCCTACCCTAACTTCCTAACTCCTGTCTGATTGAGAATTAGCACCGCTGAGACAGAGGGTCTGCCTGTGGACACCACCGGGGACGGTCCCGCCCCAGTCTGCCTCCATCTCCATAATGGCTGCTTTGGTAATTTGGGAGCTGCTCGGTCCTTGGGGACAATGTTCAGGTCCCACAGGGACTCCTGGCTCGGGGTTTCGGGCATTCACAGCTTGTTAACCAGTCTCTCACAGTCCTTGTTTAGGGTGCCAATGACATTTTTTGAGAAGGTAAAATATTCTGAACATAGAACCAAAACATGAGTTGTTCTGGCCACTGTATCCTAGTCAGGGCCCAAATTTCCGCCAGAACAACCCTACCCATCTCCCTCCCCCCACCCTCCCCTCAAATAATACACCAGGAATAGCCGAAAACTACACACATGCTACGCTGTAAAAATGTGGCGTTAACACTATCGGGAAGAAGGCTGTGGGTTGCGGAGATGCTCTTTGAAGAAGACAGTATCTTTCTGCTCCCCACACGCCTGCTCCTGCAAGTTCTGTCCTTCACAGAAGGCCCTTCGCAGGCCAGCAAAGTGTGGAGCGGCCACGGTGGCTGCTCCCTGCCCGGGGCAGGTGTGCACAGCTGGAGCAGCTGGCCAGCACCCGGGCCGCGGCAGGGATGGAAATGATACTGGCTCTTCAAAGGACATCTTCCCAAGCCACCTGTGCGGTATGAGGACAAGCAGAATGCCTTTCCACCCCCTGGAGACCCAGCTAGAGGCGATGGGCTGGTCCTTGGGAGACTCAGTTCTTGTCGTCTTTTTTGTCGTCATCCTCCGAAGGGTAGGAGTGCCACGTCAGCCGCTCCTCGTAGAAAGAGATGACAACCTGTGGGCACTTGACGTTGGCCTCCTTGGCAGGGACCAGGTCGGCCTCGTCAGAGTTCTTCCTGCAGACACAAGACAGACACTCTGAGCCATGCTGCCGGTGTGTGGCATGAACCGCCCGGGGCTGGGCCTCAGAGCCGGGATCCAGGGCCAGGCTCGCGAGGCTGGGCACGCAGCCCCCGCAGCCCTGCAGGCACGTGATGCCCGGGAGGCCTGCTCCGCTGCAGATCTCCTCGCAGACGGCCTGGCTTTAGCTCAGGCAGGCCTTGGACTCGGGCTTCCTGTCTCTGAAGGCCTTTGTCAGAAGCTGGGCTGCTGACTCAATTCTACCAGAACTCCTCAAAAAGTTAGCAAAACCTGCTCATGACCCTGGAGGTGAATCTCCTGCCTCGGCACACTACAGGCACATGACACTATGGCCAGCTTTCCCAAACTTTTCAAATGTTCTCAAAATCAGAATATCACACACATGCTATAGAAAAGGGAGTTAGAAGTCAATTCTTACCTCCAAGTCACCAAGTGTCCCAAGTGAAGGGAGCAGTGCAGGACAGGTGCAGATGTATCACAGGGTCCCTGACAAGTGACGCCTGCACACCCAGACCCTAAGGGGGCTCAAAGCCGACCCGGGGCACTTCGTGCTCAGTGGAAGCAAAGGCCAGGCACGACAAGGATGCCAGCAACACGGGGACCTGGAGCCAATGCCCCGAGGTTCCTGGGACCCCTCAGACAAGGGAGTCACTCCTCGGGGCGGGGTGCAGTGTCAGGCTGTGCTGTCAGCCACTCCTGGGCAGTGCTGTCATAGTGCATCCCACACATACACTGAAAGCCTTGTAGGGTTACCTCACTGCACGTTAAGTATCTACTTTCAGAAATGGACAAGTGCCTACTCTGCAGAAAGCATCTCTTGTGGGTGCTACTGCTAACTGAACCCAGGACCACAGGAAGGCTAAGCATGTGCTCTGCCCCGGGCGACCCCCCGCAAACTGAGGAGCAAATCGGGGGCTTTCATACCGAGCTACATATCCAGTGCTTCAGTTTTATCTTGAAGCTCTAGCTATATTACCATGTTACCAAGCTGGGTTCAAATTTGAAATCATCCTGCCTCAGCCTCCCAGAATGCTGAGATTAAAGGCATGTGCCACTGTGCCTGGCACTTTTACTTTTAAAAGTAAACTTTTCATTTATAACTACCATATGTTTTGGTGTTCTGAGATAGGGTGTGACCGTGTAGTCCAGACTGCTCTTGAACTCACTATGTGGCCCACACTGGTCTCGAATTCATGGTGATCCTCCTGCCTGAGCCTCGTGTGTCCTGGATTACAGGCGTACACGCTACCACGCCCAGCTGTTAACATTTAGTCTTACTATGTAGATAGCAAATTAAGCCACAGACAGATGACACACTGTAACTCAGACTGAGCACAAGCAGAAGTACATGTTAACTGCTCTTAATCATGAACTCCTCCGTCTTTCCCATATGCAGCTCTTGGAAGTGAGCTTTTCTCAACTACAGGCCAACAATGAGCAGCTGCAAGAGGGCCAGATGCAGGGCTGACCATGGTGTGTACCTCTAACCCAGCACTTGAGGCTGAAGCAGGAAGAATGCCAAGCTGAGCCCAGCCTGAACAATTTATGAAACCCTGTGTCAAAAGATGTGGATGCAGGGGCCGGGGAGATGGCTCAGTGGAATAAGCACTTCCCTGGCAAGCACAAGGGCCTGAGTTCAATCCCCGGTTCCGCAAAAAAAAAAAAAAAAAAAAAAAGATGTGGATGCATAGGGAGGGCTGGAGGCATTTTTCAGTGATGGGCTCAATCCTTGCCTGGTACTGTAGAGAAACAGAAAAAAGGGTGGGCATGGTGACACATGCATATAGTCCCAGCATTCAGGAGGCTGAGACAAGAGGACCAATTTGAATTTGTGCACAGCCTGAACTCCATAGTGAGGTCAAGGACAGCTTGCACTGCAGAGACTTTGAGAGAGGAAGGGGGAGAGAAGAAGGGGGAGAGAAAATGGGAACAGAGCTAGTGACACAGGCCTTTAGTGGTGCTCAAGTTGGGTCTCCAGCCGTCTTTTTTCTACTCTGGGATAGAACCCGGGGCCTTCCGTAAGCGAGGCAAGCGCTTCCGTGCGGAGCTACATGGGCTCCCTGAGCTGGGCTTCAACTTGCAACCCTCTGGGCCAGAGGTCACAAGCAGGTGCCATGTTCCAGGGAAAAGACTACACAGAGAGGAGTTTCAGAAGGGCCTAGACCCGCAAAAGGACAGAGCCGCAAGAGCGCTGTTCCTGCGCCAGAGCCTAGAATCCTTCCTGCCTACGTTTATTTAGTTTTGTGTTTTCCTCTTTGGTGCTAGGGAATGAACAGGACCTGACTGAGCTACACCCGCGACCTTTAGCGTCTATGTTGAAGGCAATGAAACTTGTTCTGGAGGAAAAAAAGCAGGCACATTTCCAACTAGGAAGATAAAGGGAAGCAAGGGTTCTTTCTGGGCATGGGGTAGGTCATGCTGCCTTCTGCTTAGATGAAGCACAGGTGTGCTGTTCTGGTCACCAACAAAGCACATATGTGATGGTGGTCTCATAAAATTGTAATGGAGCTTAAAATTCCTATCACCCAGGGCTTGGGGGATGGCTCAGTAGAACAAGTGCTTGCCTGGCAAGTGCAAGGGCCAAGGATCAATCCCCACTTCAGCCAAAAAAAAAAAAAAAAAAAAAATCAAATCCTATCCCCCAGTGACACTGGCACAACACTGCTTGGGGATCTGCAGTGACGTCGGCGAGCACTGCGCCACCAGCACACACAGGCCCAGCGCAAGTTTGCTCAGCGTGCCGTCCCTGGCGGGACACGGATCTGCTGCACATTCTGCCCACTGAGACAGAGACCACTGTGAAAGCACACACCATGACTGCAGCGACCATGTGGAGACGGCCCTGTACCATCTGGCTTGTGTGAGTACATTCTACAATAGCTGCACAAGGATGACACTGCCTGATTATGCCCTTTTCTTTGGAGGCATCTTGTCACTTGTGGCTCAGGACGGCCTCAAACTCAGGGCAACCCTCTTGCTTCAGCCTCCAAGTGCAGGGAGTACAGGCGCATGCCCACACTGGCTCATCGCTGTCCTCAGACACTGCCCCGTCATGATGTGGCGCACGCCCGTGCAACTACCACGAGCATTTACGGCGCATCAGGCAAGGAGCAGACTTGGAGGCCCCGCAGTACAGGGCCCTGCTGACCCCTGCTGGCTCATCTTGGAATCGCACTGTCTACAGGAATACAAATGCTTTGCTCATTTGCTGGTTAAGTTTTATCCCGGCCAGCACACTATCAGGAGGCGGCAGAAGAGGTGGTCTAGTCACATTTCATAATGTTTTCCTTCACTTAAACTGAAATATGAAATATGACTACATCCCAAAGCCTCTCCACTGTTTTGTTTTTTTTTTCCTTCTACCTCAAAACAAAAATAATAAAGAAAAACCCCCCAAAACAGAAGGGCAAAGCTCTCCCAAGCCTGCGGGTCCCTACCTGTTACTCACGAGTCCAGGCTGGCAGCCAGGCCAAGGGTCACTAGCAAAGGACTATGCCATCCTAGAGCTTTCACACTGGCACAAGGCAGTCTGAAGGTCCAGCTTTCTCCTCTGCCTGGAACAGAGGAGTAGAAGGAAGACACCAACTCACCATTTCATGAGGAACATGAGCTCTCCACTCGAGTCCGTGGCACCAATAATTCGCTCTGGCTCCAAACCCCGGGCAAAGCCTCGTGGCTTCTCCGACTGTGAAAACCAGAGAGGAAATGATTTATCTCGATGGGACCGTGACCTAGAACAAAGCTCTGCGGGCATCTGAGTCCTCTAAGCTAAAGTTTCCTGCCAATACACTTCACTAACATCTGGGTGCCCGAGAACGGGCCTCTAGAAGGGTTTTGGTCTCTGTGTGAAACAGACAGCACTCTGATTAAAACAACTGTTCCCCACTCTCTCCAGCCTCAAAGACAAGTTATCCAAAGGTACTGAGTAGGAAGCAGCCAGCTCGGCTCTAATGACCAAAGCACCGACTGCCGCTGCCCCCTCCTGCTTCTGCTCCTCTGAGGAGCCATTTGCCTGCCCTTCCTCCTGTCCCCTACACAGGTCACATGTGCTAAGAACACAGCACCTGATTATCGGGCTGTGGCTCGAAGGCAGCAGACATTTCAGGCTGGTGAGCACTCCCACCACCGCCTCACCTCTTCTTTCTTCTTCTTTGGTTTGCTCTCCTCTCCCTTATCTTCAGAATCCGAGTCAGCCTTGCGCTTGCCTCCCTCTGATTTGTCTGTCTCATGTGCTGTTTTCTGAGACTGCAGGAACTCGGCAATGAGGTCAGGGCAGTCCAGGTTCTCTTCGGGCTCCCACGTGTTGTCCTCACTGAAAGTGGAGGGCACAGCAGGTCACACGTCTCGTATGGGACAGGTGAAGTATGCATGCTGTGTGCACGAGGTTAGTGCATGGAGCTTAGAGATGTGGCCTGTGCAGAAAAACAACTACTCTTTGAGGCGTGGACACCATGATGCATACGCACATGCAGCACGCTGCCCCTCAGTCACCCCACCCTCCGCGGGGTGCAGCACAGGCGGCACTTACTCGGAGAAGCCCTTCCACTTGAGCAGGTACTCCACTTTGCCCTTCACCACCCGGCGGTCCAGCACCTTCTCCACCACATACTCCTCCTCCTCCTCCTCCAGTACCTCCTCTACTTTCTTCTTGTTTTGTTTCTTTCCCATGGTGCCCGCCAGCTTTCTGGTGTGAAGGGTGACGCTGCTGTGGTGAGACAGGAGGAAAAAGGCATCAGGACACACTGGCTGGATGACTGTCCGGATGCTGACACAACTGGGCTGCCATAGGTGCTTTTCATACTGTATGCTGCTTACAGGAAGCGTCGTGGCAGCTGACTGCTGAAACGGCTGGACACCTCTACTCCTGTGCAGCACTGAAAACATCTGCACCCAGTTCTTCCGACACAGAGGAGCTCCTGAGAACCCCATAAAATACCACATTAAATCGAAGCAGGGCACAACAGCATGCACCATTCTAGTACTCAGGAGGCTTGGACCCAGGCCCTTCACACTGAACTACGCGCCCAGCCTTTTTATTTTGAGTTAATGAGACCCTTCGATTTAAGATAGGGTCTCATTAACTCAAAATCTGTCACCCAGGCTGGCCTGGAACCTGCTATCTTAGCCCCCCACAGTGCTGGGATGACAAGTGTACACCACCAGACATGGTTTAGTTTGTCGTCTTGTATATACCACTGAGATATGATGAACTGTCAGGACACTAGTGAAAGGATCCTTTTCTTCAGTCTTTCCTGAACGCTAGTAAAAACTTACAACTCACAATTTAAAAATTGTACTTATTTAATCATTCACTTTTGTGTGTGTGTGAAACCGGGATTGAACTCAGGCCCTTGCGCCTGCCTCTACTGAGCCATCTCCCCAGCCCCTATTTCATCATTTACTTCTAAGGCTAAGGATTACTCACAAACATGCCAGAATGACTATGAAGAGTCTTTAAGCTAGAGCACAACAATAATTTGGAAAAAACATTGCTACCACAAATAGGATCTCTGTGTATTTATTTTTGTGGTAGGAGGGATTCAACTGAAGGGCATTATATCTCCAGGCCTTATTTTGACACAGGGTCTCATGTTGCCTAGAATGGCTTTGAACCTGTAATCCTCCTGCCCTGGCCTCCTGAGTAGCTCAGATTACAGGCATGAGGGCTTTGAGTTAGGTGTGGCAGACACCTGTGATCCCACCACTGGGAGGCTGAGGCAGGAAGATCAATAGTTCCAGGGCAGCCTGGACTTACCACAAGACCCAGTCTCAAACCAAAACCAAACTACATCAATGGGTTGGGCAACATCTACATGTTTTTCCAATGTTAAATTTTTAGTCCTGCTGGGCATGTAGTGCATGACTAATGCCAGCACCTGGGAGGGTGAGGCCCGAGAATCACAAGTATATGCTTGCCTGGGCAACTTGGAGAGACTCCATCTCAAAATAAAATATGAACTAGGGGTGTAGAACAGTGCCATGGCCCTGGGTTCAAGCCCACAAAATACTCTGAATCCTCATAGAACCTATTATCCTCAGTCTTTCATCCAACTCTTGACTTGTGGCAGGCTCAAAGCCTTCCAGTCACCACTTTGTGTCAGTAGATGGCGCTCTAGGATACAAATAAAACAAAAGCTGACAAAACTGGCCAAATGGCAGGTGGTAGATATTCTAAGACAAAGAATTACTGCTTGGTAGGAGTCGAGACAATACCAATTTGGGGCTAAACTGGTAATTCCTAGCATCCCTGGGAGAGTCTCAGTAAGTACAACTCTCCCTGGTCCAAGAAGAAAGGAAAGGGATGGGGAAAAGGTTGATAAGGAAAGGAGGGGAATGGTGGTGCACACCAGTAATCCCATCAGTTGGGAGGCTGAGGCAGGAGGATTGTTGAGTTAAAGACCAGCCTGGGCTACAAAGTAAGCTCAAGGCTAGCCTAGGAACTGGAGAGCAACACCCTGTCCTTTTTTTTCAATCTTTTATTATTAAATATTTAAATATTTACTTATTTTAGGGCCAGGGAGATGGCTCGGTAGAATAAGCACTTGTTCCCAGTTCCACAAAAAACAAAAACAAAACAAAACAAAACCCCACCAGTTAAAAAAATGGTGGCCAGCATGGCATGGGGCTGGTTTGCCAGGCAGGTGCTTAGACTGCCAAGAAATCTCCCCAGACTAAGACCATGTCTTTATAAAAAAAGTTGATAGGGGAATGGGATGGAGAAGGGGGAGAAAGAAATTTTCCTGAAATCTTTAAAAAAACAAGCCAGCCGTGGCTGTGCACATCTACAATCTCATAACTCTGGGAGGTTGGAAAGGATCGCAAGTGTGAGTCCAGCCTGAGCAATTCAGCAAGACTCTGCCACAAAGTAGGATTTAGGGATGCAGCAGAGGGAAGGCCCTGGGTTCAACTCCACTACAGCAGTGTTTCTCTGTTCCAGGTCCCCCCCCCCCCGCCCCCGCAATGCACCTATTCACGCTGACAGTACTGAGAATTACTGTATTAGTGACAACTGGTTCCTGGGGAGGCTGTGGTAACCTACAACTATGGCTCTGTAGCACACACCTTTTTTTTGTTGGTGTTGTTTTTTAAGACAGAGTGGAGATGGCTCAGTGGTCTAAAGCACCTACTTAGAACAAGCTAAGCCAAGCAAAGCACAGGGACTGCGGTTGGATCCTCCCGCACCACATGCCAGACAGCCCCGCCCCCTGGTGGGCTGAGCTGGCCACCCACCCACACACACACAATAAATAAATAAAATCATTCAAGGTTCCTAGAAAAATACTATTTTGCACTAAGAACTGAACTTTTTTTTTTTACACAATCTTTTAAAACTTAATTGAAATTAAAAGCTGTAGAACTATGGGAATCAAATTCTGGACCTCATGTTAGCCAGGCAGGTGCTATGCCACTGAGCTAAATCTCTGGCCCTGTACCAGTGTATTTCTTTTGACCTTTCAAACTACCACCCCTCAAGATAAGCTGTTCATGTTTCTGCCTTACAAACAGAACAAGTTCTGATCATTAATCATTTAAAATCACACAAATGACAGCCTAGTAGTTCAGTGAGAAAACCAGTAAGAAAAGGCAAGCAGTCCTGCCCAAACACAGAAAGCCACACGGTGAGGTCCCTCTGGCCCACAGCAAGAAAAGCTCACAGGTGTCTAGATGCAGACCTGCAATGTGTCACAGTAAATACGGAAGAGACTAGTACTGGTTCTCTTTCAGAAAGCACTTTGGGAAAAAGAAAACACTTTGGAAGGTATGAATACGTTAAAAACCCAATGATTTTTTTCATTAGTTTGTACTCCTTGTTAATTTTATGACAGCAGACAGTAACAAAGCATTTTTTATTTTTTTTTACATTTATTTATTGTGTGTGTGTGTGTCCAGCTCAGCCCACCAGGGGGCGGGGCTGGCTGGCATGTGGTGCCGGAGGATCGAACCGCGGTCCCTGTGCTTTAGTCAAGCTTGTTCCAAGTAGGCGCTTTAGACCACCGAGCCATCTCTCCAGCCCACAAAGCATTTTTTAAAAAACACCCTAGCCTTGGGTTTTGAATCTTTAATTACAAGTATTAAATGATGCAGAATATTGAAGGAAGGAAGCTAAGCATGGCGGCAAAAGCAGGTAGTGCTAGCTGCTCAGGAGGCTGAGACCAGAGGTAGATGCCAAGGTCAAGGCTACGGAGGCTACAAAGCACACGGAGCTTGCCGTCCTCCTAAGAAAAGAGAAGGGACTGTGGTGTAGTTCAGCATTGAGTGCGTGCTTGAGGCACTGAAGCAAGAATCATTAAGTCACAGCTCTTTTAAGAAAAGGCACTGCTGTGGTTTTCTTCACCAAACTTTCACCCTGCCTGAGGGAGCCAGAAAACCACAAAGAAACTAGGCTTCAGTTTTGCATTAGAGATAGGGTGGCTTTGAACTCTCCAGCCTCAGAGCCAGATTCACAGGCTTGGTACCCTGCTCCAGGCGAGGTTGCCTCGAGGGCAGAAAGCTGTCAGACCACTTTTTTTCATTCCAGAAGAGTTTCTACTTGTACTGTGAAGGGCAGAGAAGGAACAGTGAAGACCCTGTGGGTGCAGTGCCCAGATGCTACCGCAAAAACCTCAGGAACATTCATGAGACCAATCCTCGCCAGTCTGGAAAATCAAGCTCTGCATGCCAAGCCACACAAACAGACCTCCAAAACCGGGCTCTCGGCTGAAGACTGTGCTTTGTTGTTCTTAGGGCAGGCGAGTGCGGCTAGGAGTCTCAGCATGTGGGAAAGAGGCAGCAAGGTATCTTGGGGCCAGGAGTTCAAGAGCAGATGCAAGCTCAGTAGAATAAGTGCTTGCCTGGCAAGCTCAAGGTCCTGAGTTCAATCCCTAGTACTTAAAAAAAAAAAAAAAAAAAAAAAAAAAAAAAAAAAGCAGATGCACACTATGAAGCCAGTACTCTGGGAGACTGAGGCAGAAGGGTGGCAAGCTGGAAGTCAGCCTGGGCAATTTAGCAAGATACTAAGAGCCTGTCTCAGTTTAAAAGGGTAGAGATGTGCAGCTCAGTGTAAAGGCCCTGGGGCTCAGGACTTAATATGGCAAAAGCAAGAAAGTTATCAAACTATGTTTCTTTCATGAACACCAAAATTTTTTTTTCTTTTGTAATTTTGAGATACAGTTTTGCTATGCAGTTCAGGCTGGCCTTGAGCTCATTTTGTAGATGAGGCTGGTCTGGTACTCCCAACAATGCTCCTGGCTCAGCCTCCAAAGTGCTGGGATTATAGGTGTGCACCACCACACCTGGTCAAAAAGTTTACTTTTATAACTTTTATTATACAATAGCTATGAGATAAGAAAATGTCTCAATTTCAAAGAAAACCCTGCTATGATTCAGTCTTTAAAAATTCATTCAAAAATAAATAAATAGGGGCCTGGGAGATGGCTCAGTGGAATAAGTGCTTCCCTGGCAAGCACAAGGGCCTGAGTTCAATCCCTGGTTCCGCAATAAATAAGTAAATAAAAATTCATTCAATAGTTTGGATTACTGAAAGACAAGGTGGGGCTGGTGAGATGGCTCAGTGGTCTAAAGCACCTAATTAGAACAAGCTTAGCAAAGCACAGGGACCGCGGTTCAATCCCCCAGCACCACATGCCAGCCCGCCCCGCCCCCTGGTGGGCTGAGCTGGCCCCCCCCACAAAAATAAATAAAAAATAAAAAAATTATTAAAAAAAA